GATAACTTTTTTTATCTTGCTGCCAATTGTCAAGATAAAAGCTTGGCAATACTCAAAATCTCTTGCAGGTGATCTGAGGTTAAAATATTGACGTTGAACTTAATTTTAAAACTGTAAATTAAGCTCCAAAACCTCTTGTCCCCATTTACCTCAACTGCCCAGTAAAAAAAAAAGAATTGGGAGTAAGCGAAAAGAATTGGTGGTAACTTAAACTGAATTCGGTTTGGCGAAAAAACCGAATTGGAACGTTAAGGTGAATTATTTTTTCTTACTGTGAATTCTTTTCTTTTGAACATTTAAATTGACGTTTGTTTATTCGAGTTTACATTATAAATGAATAAAATAAATGTTTCGAAGTCTAAAAAAGCCGATTTGGAATAAGAAATATATAATTTTTTAAAAAGAAATAAAAGCGAAGTGTGACAGATTCACCGACAATTTTATCATGTGAGTAGTGTTCATATGATAAATTTACCATATGAGTACTACTCACATGATAAAATTGTCGGTAAATCTGTCACATTTCACTTTTATTTCTTTTAAAAAAATTATATATTTCTTATTCCAAATCGGCTTTTTTAGACTTCGAAACATTTATTTTATTCATGTATAATGCAAACTCGAATAAACAAACGTCAATTTAAATGTTCAAAAGAAAAGAATTCACAGTAAGAAAAGAATAATTCACCGTAACGTTCCAATTCGGTTTTTTCACCAAAACGAATTCAGCTTAAGTTACCACCAATTCTTTTCGCTTACTCCCAATTCTTTTTTTTTACTGGGTGACCCTATATGTAATATATTTACAGATAGAAACTTTCTGAATTTTTAAAAGAATTAAAAACTTTAAAAAACAGTCAAAAATTTTTCTCAAAATATAATTAAAAATTCTTTACTTTAAATCCGAGTTTACAATCAAATTAATGCATTAATGCTTTCCTTCTGGTTGGACGACTTTTTAAAACGCCGTCCAACCGGAAGGAAAGCATTAATGAATTTGAGTGTATTAAAAAAAATATATATGAGGCATTCTTTGTCAACTGAAGCCCCCCTCTGTCCAAAATTGGTTTAAGTATAAAATATCGGGCATAGGCCTATTATTTCAATAAAAATAAGTACTTTTTAATTCCGTGTGGCGTTTTTCAAAATTGAAAATGGCGGATCCAATATGGCGACTAACTTTCACAAAATTGATTGAATTTACTTGGAAATTGTTACTCGGGGGTTTTTGGGGTCGCTGATTACGAATCTGGTGTTAGTTTTTAGAAATTCAAAATGGCGGATCCAATATGGCGGATTAAATTTTAAAATTTACTCGGATTCTTCTGAAATTTTTTACTCAGGGGTTTTTGGGGTCGCTGATTACGAATCTGGTGTTAGTTTTTAGAAATTCAAAATGGCGGATCCAATATGGCGGATTAAAATTTTAAAATTTACTCAGATTCTTCCGAAATTTGTTACTCGAGTGTTTTTGGAGTCGCTGTGTACGAATGCGGTGTTAGTTTTCATAAAATCAAAATTGCGAATCAAAAGACCAAAGACCAATCAAAAAGTGCGCCATACATTTTTTGTTCAGAACTTTCTTCTAATCACTATGGCGGTATTCCCGAAAGATTATCTAGCGAGTTTAATTTTTTGAAAATTTCTCCAAATTTTTTTTTTTTTTAGTTCAGAACTTTCTTCTAATCACTATGGCGGTATTCCCGAACGATTATCTTGCAAATCTAATTTTTTTAAAATTTTTCAAAATTATTTTTGAGTGTAGCTCAGCATTCGCTGGACCAATCTAAAAGTGCGCCATATATTTTTTGTTCAGAACATTTTGACTATTTTTTTGGCGGTATTCCAGAACGATTATCTGGAAAATTTAATTTTTCAACAATTTTTCCGAATTTATTTTTTAGTATAGCTCAGCATCCGCTGGACCAATCAAAAAGTGCGCCATACATTTTTTGTTCGCTACTTTTTGCTAAAGACTTTGGCGGTATTCCCGAACGATTATCTCGAAAATTTAATTTTTCGAAAATTTTTCATAAATTTATTCGAGCGTAGCTCAGCATCCGCTGGACCAATCTAAAAGTGCGCCATACATTTTTTGTTCGAAACATTTTACCTATTTTATTGGCGGTATTTCGGAACGATTATCTCGCAAATTTAATTTTTCTAAATTTTTTCCAAATTTGTTTTCTAGTTTAGCTCAGCATCCGCTGGACCAATCTAAAAGTGCGCCATACAATTTTAGTTCAGAACTTTCTTCTAATCACTATGGCGGTATTCCCGAACGATTATCTTGCAAATTTAATTTTTTTTAAATTTTTCAAAATTATTTTTGAGTGTAGCTCAGCATTCGCTGGACCAATCTAAAAGTGCGCCATATATTTTTTGTTCAGAACATTTTGACTATTTTTTTGGCGGTATTCCCGAACGATTATCTGGAAAATTTAATTTTTCAACAATTTTTCCGAATTTATTTTTTAGTATAGCTCAGCATCCGCTGGACCAATCAAAAAGTGCGCCATACATTTTTTGTTCGCTACTTTTTGCTAAAGACTTTGGCGGTATTCCCGAACGATTATCTCGAAAATTTAATTTTTCGAAAATTTTTCATAAATTTATTCGAGCGTAGCTCAGCATCCGCTGGACCAATCTAAAAGTGCGCCATACATTTTTTGTTCGAAACTTTTTCCCTATTTTATTGGCGGTATTTCGGAACGATTATCTCGCAAATTTAATTTTTCTAAATTTTTTCCAAATTTGTTTTCTAGTTTAGCTCAGCATCCGCTGGACCAATCTAAAAGTGCGCCATACATTTTTTGTTTGAAACTTTTTTTTCAGAAAAAATTTAGAAAAATTAAATTTGCGAAATAATCCTTCTGGACTATCACCAAAGTCTAAACTCGGGAGTCTCGAACAAAAAATGTATGGCGCACTTTTTGATTGGTCCAGCGGATGCTGAGCTACACTCGAATAAATTTATGAAAAATTTTTGAAAAATTAAATTTTCGAGATAATCGTTCGGGAATACCGCTAAAGTCTTTAGCAAAAAGTAGCGAACTAAAATTGTATGGCGCACTTTTAGATTGGTCCAGCGGATGCTGAGCTAAACTAGAAAACAAATTTGGAAAAAATTTAGAAAAATTAAATTTGCGAGATAATCGTTCCGAAATACCGCTAATAAAAAAGGGAAAAAATTTCGAACAAAAAATGTATGGCGCACCTATTGATTGGTCCAGCGGATGCTGAGCTACACTCAAAAATAATTTGGAAAAATTTTCAAAAAATTAAACTCGCTAGATAATCTTTCGGGAATACCGCCATAGTGATTAGAAGAAAGTTCTGAACAAAAAATGTATGGCGCACTTTTTGATTGGTCTTTGGTCTTTTGATTCGCATTTTTGATTTTATGAAAACTAACACCGCATTCGTACACAGCGACTCCAAAAACACTCGAGTAACAAATTTCGGAAGAATCTGAGTAAATTTTAAAATTTAATCCGCCATATTGGATCCGCCATTTTGAATTTCTAAAAACTAACACCAGATTCGTAATCAGCGACCCCAAAAACCCCCGAGTAAGAAATTTCAGAAGAATCCGAGTAAATTTTAAAATTTAATCCGCCATATTGGATCCGCCATTTTGAATTTCTAAAAACTAACACCAGATTCGTAATCAGCGACCCCAAAAACCCCCGAGTAAGAAATTTCAGAAGAATCCGAGTAAATTTTAAAATTTAATCCGCTATATTGGATCCGCCATTTTGAATTTCTAAAAACTAACACCAGATTCGTAATCAGCGACCCCAAAAACCCCCGAGTAACAATTTCCAAGTAAATTCAATCAATTTTGTGAAAGTTAGTCGCCATATTGGATCCGCCATTTTGAATTTTGAAAAACGCCACACGGAATTAAAAAGTACTTATTTTTATTGAAATAATAGGCCTATGCCCGATATTTTATACTTAAACCAATTTTGGACAGAGGGGGGCTTCAGTTGACAAAGAATGCCTCATATGTATAGGAAATTTATATTTTAAAATGATATTTCATAACATTCATTGACATGTCTATAGATTTTTCATTGCTGAAAAAAATTCAATGACTCTTTCAAATTTTCCAAAATCTTGTCAACCCAATCTTAGAACGTGAAAAAAATTACTGGTATATTCATTCCAGCATCGTATTAATTATTTTTTCTCATTAGTAGACTTTTAAAAAACACATAATAACTCCCGTAACACTTAAAACGTGGACAATAAAAATCACCATCCCATTCTCAACTCTCAAATGAATAAAAAAAACTCACCTGCCTTTTCAATTTCTACAATATCTTGAAATAATTTAATTCTAGAAACAAAATAAAAATTTTGAAACTACTGTCAATTTAACTAAACGCGCTGTTGTTAAGCAGGCATATTCTCGGCTGAAAATCCTTTTCCATATATAGACTAAGTTTAATTATTACATGTGCTAAAAACAACCGCGCAGCCTTTAAAGTTTCCCATTAAATTTCAAATCGAAACCCTAGATCTTATACAGGAACTTATTCACGGTCATGTACAAGTACACGAGTCCAAGAATTACCACGAGTTACTATGAGCTTGGACATGTTCTTTGTTATATGAAAAGTTTTGTACATGTTCTTAGGTATAATCATGTAACAAATCTTGTATAAGGATTTTCGACCGGGTTGGAATCGGCTTAAGACTCGTGACACATTCGGGGAACGTCAAAACTATCATTCACCTCAAACATTAACATTAAAACACAGAAATAAAAGCGAATTGCTGATTTTACCCCACTCACTCTACTCTACTTATAGCTTCTTTGATAGAGGATTTAAGGCCAGGTCCAAGTCGAGTCAGCTGTTCCTTTGAAGTTTCAATGGAACAGCTGACACGACTTGAACCTGGCCTTAAGAAACAATTGCAAAACACAACTGATTTATCTAAAATTTTGTATTGCTTATAATTAAAATATGTATGTACTGCTAAATACTTACTACACATTCGTTACTGTCGAAATATAAGAAACACAAGTTGACTTTATGGCAAGAGATTTTTCCCCTGTCATCCAATCCAAGTAAAATTTTATGACGGAGCAAATGCTTGTTAACCTGTGCCATACATTTTTCTAAATTTTGATTCAATTTAATTTTAATAAACATGCACAGGAATATTGCAGCAGCATTCAGAACTAACCACATAACACCAAGGCCAAATAAAGTGAGACCTGTTACTCCAGAAAATAAAAGTCCCAATAGAATCACAAAGCCAATAAAAATCCATAAGACAAGAACACGCTTGTAGCAAATATTGTACATGTTAAATCTTACATCATTTACTAACAATTCCATTATGTGCACGTAGTCTTCCACTGTGAGCTAGAACAACAATCATTTCATTATCATAAAGAAACCATACATAATCTTATTTAGGATCTTTAACCCTTCGTCAGTCGCATGGTGAGGAAATTCCTCGCCCAGTTTCTTTTTTTATTTATATCTTTTGAAATACATAAAATTAAAATTCTATAATTTCAGTACCTTTCACAGCACTCTTCTTTTATACACTGGGAAAAAAAGCTACCGTTTTAGCGGTAAAGCCATCCTATTTTGGCATAAGTTACACTGCCAGCAGAAAACTGCTGTTTCAGTATTGGAATGCTGTATTTTTAGCATTGTGATACTGCGAACTGCTCTGTATCACAATGCTAAAACGGCAGCATTCCAATACTGAAACCGCAGTTTTTTGTGTAACTTATGCCAAAATAGGATGGCTTTACCGCTAAAACGGCAGATTTTTTCTCTCAGTGTATATTAAAACAGTTTTTGTATCTTCTTTAATATTTTTTGTTTTGCGTATAGTCAATTTGATGTCATATTAATTTTTTATTTTTACAATAAACAATAACAGGATAATTTTATATTTAATTGTCAGTTTATCATCCGTAATAAACATTTAAGAAAAAAATTATTATTTTATAACAATATTAGACTAATTTATTCTGATAGCGTTACAAAATTTGATGCGACTAACGGGGGGTTAATTAACTTTTTTAATTCTATCGTAATAAGAAAAATATATGGAAAATCAAGAAAAAGACAGTCAATTGATATTTTATGCTAAAAAGAACAGAGCTCAAAGAGTTAAAATTGTCCAACCTCTCTGTATACAAAAAAAATGAAAAATACCGGTTTATGAAACTCAATTCCTATTACGGGTATTCTGAATTTCGATTTTTTGACTATAAAACTAAATTCTTTTTTTTTTAAATTCATATTTTATTACAGCGGAACCTTGATTATCCACACTAATTTAGGTAGGACCTGGTTCGGATGATAGAAATTTCAAGTATTAATATATCATTATAACGTATAAAGATTGAACAATTAAATAATATGGGCAAATCTAAAAAACATGCACACTTCGACAAAAAAAAGTAAAATTTTTAAATTTGTAAGCACACATATGGTTTTTATATCATTTTACTCATAATCGTTCAATAAATCAGAAAATATAAATGTAATTCATTTTCATAAAGTGCTTCAAAAGTTAGACCGAAAATAAACTTCTGCATTTGTTACGTCACGGCTATATATTTCGAGATATCAAGAGATATCACAAACTGCTTATATTAAATAAAAAAATCATCAAAATTTGATTTATATTATTATTATTTATTAACAAATTATGAACTAGAAACATGAACAAACATTTATAAAAATTAACCTCAAATTTTTTGCCTTGTGTTATACCCATGCTTACGAGTTATTGCACCCGTATTCTTCTTTTTGTCTCTATTTTCTTCAAGTGTATTTTTATTCTTTTTAAAAAATTTTAGTAAGTAAATACTATTCTAGAAAAGCTCTATTTTTGTAAAAATATAAAAAGAGTATTAAATTACCTGTGGACATTGTGTTTTCTTAATTTTTGACGTTTGTGATTAGGTTACAATGCAGAACTCGCTTGAACATCGTTATTTTAAAAAAAAACATTAAATTTGCCTAGTTTCAAAAGAATAACTTTGCGTCAACTATAAAAATCACGATTTTTAAACATTTCTAATGAAATTTTTTTTGAAGCATTTTACAGGTAGGTAAAAATAAAAGAACTAGAGGTTACAAAAAGATTTAGGTGATTTAAATGTATTTTATAAATGTGTCTTTAATTAAAGTGTCGTTCGAATGAAAATTACGCTCTACATAGGAAATATAGAAATATAGAAAATATAAGTAGATTCAAGCCTTTTCAAGTTATTCTTTACTGCACACAGTTTTTAATTAGTACATTTAAATATAAGAACTAATCACACATAAAATTGGAAATCAAAATATCGACTGCTTCAAAAGTTATGAGTAGTTCAATTTTTTATTTCCTAAAAATAACACTAAAATTTTTGAATTTTTCTATTATTTTTTGAACTCAAATTTATATAGCGTATAAGTTATTCGATAAATCACTTTAGAATTTTTTGCAGGCTTCAAGTATTAGTAAATTAAGTTAACCCAAAAGAAACAGAGTTAATATAATACACTCGTATAAAAAAATATCGAAGTCACACAAAAGTTACCTGTTTTTTAGATTTGCCCATATACATATTAATTTAATATATTTCATTTAAATAAACATTATAAACATTAATTTATAATTAAAAAATAAATTATTTAAAAATTTTTAAGGTATTTATTTGCATAAATCTAATTATTTTACTCTTCATATCTTTTTCAAAAGTACGAATGATAACAAAATTGAAAAAATGCATTCTATTTCTAGCTTGTTTTCAAAAATCTATAGTATTCTTTTAACAGAAAACTCACCCACTGATAATAAATTTCATAAAAATTTTTTAATAGAAAACATTTGCGATATATTCTGCTACTTTGAATAGGAAATACATTTCGGAATTAAATTGGAATAAGTGGAAAATTTAGATATTAAATAAAATTAAAAAATTTCACTTTCGTATACAAATATGAATAATGTGAATTGACACAGTACATGATATTTCCTTAATATTTCCGAAATATTCCATTGAAAGATTTGAAATATTCCAATGCGAAGTACTTGAAATATTGCTAAAATCAGGGAAATTTCCGCATATGGCTCATTTCATTTAAATTGTCATATTCGTGTCCCTTGCCAAAAAAAACTTATGCCATAACTTTGGTGGAATTAATGTGTTTATTTCGTAAAATAAAATGTTTTTTAAAAATAATTTTTCAACTTAGAGTACATGAAGATGATGTGAATGATAATGGCAGAACGAAATGCAGGCAAAATGTCATTAGCGACCCATGTCACAGTAGTCAATTATCATGTTTCAAATGAACATAGTGTCGTGATTTTCTTATTCAACAAGTAGAAAAATTTTTTTGCAAGAACTACAACATAAATCTATATTTAAGAAAAATCAACTCTTGGTAATGTTATTTATTTCTTTATACTTTCTAAAAAAAATAGAAATGACATTTCCCTCAATTTTTTCATTATTTTATTTTGCATATACAAAATTTTGTATTTATGTGTGTTTTGTAATTTATTATCCTGTGATCAAAAAAACTACTTTACTATCAGATACACAACAGCAGATAATAAGAAATCAACTGAAAAAACGTAAAATATTCTAATTTTAAATGTGTCATTTCTATAGCGTGACAGAAAAAAAAACTGTTTGGTTATAAGTTACTGGTCATTAGTGACCCCTGCTTGAAAATAGTAAGTAAATATTTTATATTTAATACCAGTATAAAATTCACAAGTTTTGAATTATCTTTCGAATAAGACGGATCCAATTTATATAAATATAAACTATTTTTAGTTATAGTCAAATAAAAAGCAAAATGATATGAGTGTCCCACAAATTGTATATTACTTGTAGTAAACGCAGTGAACTATAGAATATATATTGTTTTTTTTTCAAAATGAATAATGCAAATGTTCGAATTTTTAATATATCAAGTTTCAATTGTTTATTTGTTATATAAGGACAATCAAGACAAGTTTAAAACTTCAATAAACATTGTAAGCAACCCGTAAAAATGTTTATAAATCGCAAAAAATTGAGGAAATTAAAAATTTTTACAAATAATAAATTTTTAAATTCAAGAATTTTAATAATTTTATGTTATATTTAAATAATAATTATATTTAATAAAAATTATTGCAGAAAAATTTGTGTGATATATTTTTCATAGTTAATGTTATGAGTCCCCAACCTCTAGTCCAAGTTCTGCGTTTGAATAATAATGAACAGGTAAATAAGTATGCATGAAATATTTCTTTTAACTTTCCCAATACACTGAATATTGGAAGATAGTTAAAATATAGATTTATATATTGATAGTAAAATTTTCGTTTCTTCACAAATAGAGAAAGTTAGAGTTTTATTTTAATTCACTTTTTTCTGCGTTTCGCCTAATTTTTAAAAAGTTCTTTCATTAAACATAACCCTATAATGAAATTTACATTTGGTTGAGTCTCATAATTGAAAAAGTAACGAAAAAATACTTGCTCATAGACAAATTAAACATTATTTCATCAAAAATTCGCAGAAAAAAATCTTCATATAATTTAAATATTTCTGACAAAAAACCGTCTGCCATGAGAAAAATATGACTCGCCCTGGCGGATTCGATTTGCGTAATGTCTACTTAACTAAGCGGACTTTAGGTAGACATTAGGTAGACATGTAAAAAAACGTATAAAAAAGCTATTAATCGACTTATTATGATAAAAAAAAGTTGATAAAAGGGTAAATGAATGTTTATAGAGTAAATTCGTACAAAATTTGTAATTAATAAAGCAATAAATAATTAATAATGAATGGAAATGTGCGCGAGGTACCTGATCAGTTCAGCTGTACAATTATTTTCGTGCTATTTTCATGAAAAGAATATAAATTAACTGCAAAAACAATTGATATTTATAAAAAAGTGTAAAATTGATTTCATTTTATTGTTTGCAATACGAATTATTAAATAATAATTAAGTTTTTATCAAATGTGAATAGTGTTGTGAAAACCTGTGAAAACTAATGAGTTACTACATTACCGATCGCATATGAGAGATGGCGCCACCAGTTTTTACAATACAGTGCGAGCATGTTTTCTTCCAAGCTTTTGCTTTGAAAGAAAATAAAAAGTGAATTTTAAAATGCAGAATAAAGTTATACAAATAATTATTGATTTCATAATTGTTTCTCGTCCAAAATTACGGACATGATTGCAGCTTTTTTGTTACACTCATCGAGAACTTTTTATTATCATATGCGATCGGTAATGTAGTAACTCATTAGTTTTCACAGGTTTTCACAACACTATTCACATTTGATAAAAACTTAATTATTATTTAATAATTCGTATTGCAAACAATAAAATTAAATCAATTTTACACTTTTTTATAAATATCAATTGTTTTTGCAGTTAATTTATATTCTTTTCATGAAAATAGCACGAAAATAATTGTACAGCTGAACTGATCAGGTACCTCGCGCACATTTCCATTCATTATTAATTATTTATTGCTTTATTAATTACAAATTTTGTACGAATTTACTCTATAAACATTCATTTACCCTTTTATCAACTTTTTTTTATCATAATAAGTCGATTAATAGCTTTTTTATACGTTTTTTTACATGTCTACCTAATGTCTACCTAAAGTCCGCTTAGTTAAGTAGACATTACGCAAATCGAATCCGCCAGGGTCTAATTTTGTGACCACTATCAATTTCGTTTATTTAACATATTAAACTGTATAAAAAATTTTGTTATAACCTCTTTGCTACCCCAACTTTTCTGGAGTCTGAATATGACAATTTAAATGAAATGAGACATATAAAAAATATTTCAGCGTTCGTTGCATAAATAATTTGAACATCAATGATGCGCACTGGTGCAACTGCGCAGTAGTTTTTAGTTTTTTAGAATCCTATGAACGAGATATTAAAAATTCCGATTAATTTAATGAGTCAAAGTTTTCTTTCAAATATTTTATTAATATTACAGATTCTTCAAATGTAATATTGTAAGAGTATTAAACGTAATATTTCAGAAAAATTGCACGGGAATATTTCTCAGTGGCAAACATTTTCTTGTTTTCACCAAAATTTCATGAATCTCTCATTGAAATATTTTAAATCTTTCATTGAAAAGTATTAATTATTTTTCTCTAAAAATAAACGTCATTAACACTATCTAAAAAAAATATTACCGTAAGTCCTTGAGCCATTAATTCTTCTGGTACTAATTCAGGTTTAAATCTAGCTGGTGTAACCCATGGCCATCTTGTATTTACTGGCAATAAAGTAACAATTGTGTCTCCATTTACAAATCCTTGTCTGGCAAATCCAGTAGAAGTACTTGTTGTGTTGTTGGAAATAGTTCTTCCATTATTAGAAGGATTTCTCAGATCAATTGTTTTTAACGAATTAGTTTTTGCACTGAATGACATGTTTGAATCTTCCATGCCAATGGAATGATTTAAACCTGATCTGTCTAAATTAATTTGGACGGATTCTGTTGGAATAACAGCTCCACTATAGTCACCACTATTATTTTTTTCAGCCATATTAACATCACATTTTTCGTTATCCAAGACACAAACTCCATTCTCATTTTCCATGTCTTTTTTCAGTGTAACTGATTCAGATGATTCTTGCGTTAGAGTATCTTGTGTTTCGGAGGAATTTACTTTATTATCGGATTCATCTTCAAACTGAACCCAATCTTTTTTTTTCTTCGTCTCTGAGTTAGTAATTTTGACATTTTTTTCTGGTGTAGAAGAATTCATTTTTCGTAGCTACAAAATAATAACATATAATTACTTAAATAAAATAGAAAGATAAATAATTTAACTATCCATTTTATTTAAGTAATTGTATTGGAAGGTGAGTAAGGAAAGGTTGGATGTCAAATTTCCGAAAATCTTATTACATGTACGCAAACAAATTTTCGATTGGCTTAATAGAAAGAAACTACACGGAATCCCTTATTTTTATGTGGAATTCCATGTAAAAATCCAAATCTGGAGTTCCTAATATCGACATGAAACGCCTTATCCGATTTGGACAGCAAGATGAAGCCACATTTCGACATTTTTTAGGTTTGGCTCATATCAAGTGAGGCGTTTCAAGCCATTTTTGGAGCAAATACACTTTAAAAAAGGAGTTGAATTTCTACTCCCTCGAGGATGCTATAAAAGTCCCACCCTTTTAGAGTTAAAGCGAAGGGAGTTGACTTTTAACTCGAAAATTTTAACTCCCAGTGCCTTTAACTCGCTAATTTTTTTGCAGTGTATAGAAATATTTAAACGGATCCACATGAAATCCCAAGTAGGATCCAATATGAAATCCCACATGAAAATTTTTATTTAAATACAAAATAATAAAGTATTAAAATGTTTCAAAATTTGAAATTTAACCTATAGTAATATTTTAATTTATTAGCAGTAAACATTTTTACTTTGTGACTACAAAATTTTGTTAAATTTTGTGTAGGTGTAGTCTTAAGGTATCACATCGGTAAAACCGTTTTCTATAGATTTTCTTGAAAATTTTACCATATGTTCTTATTATCATTCTTGACAAATTTGCAAAATATGAAGAATTTTCGCCGTACGAAACCAGAGATATTAGCAATCAAAGTTGCTTATTTTGCATGGGAGACGGGACTAATGTATGGGGGAGAAGTACATTCTCATAAATATCATCAGAAGTTTTCTATACATTTTTTTCAAAAACTAATGTTGAATTCACGAATAAATTTGGAACTAAAATATACAAAGAAATTTATAATTTACCGTGCCGTTTATTTGTAATTATAAATTAAAAATTCTATTTCATGACGTCATTTGCAATATATAGCACACCCGCCACTTTGATGTGGCAACATCGCAGGATGGTAACATTAGTTAGAGAGAGACAGTAGTCCACAGTAGTCTAAGCGAGACTTATAGCGACGTTGTCAAACCTCCTACTCCTTCCAATCGCTGCTAGTGTGGGGTATACGTGTACGAGTGTATTTGTAGAAGTAGGTACAGTATGGGCTGAGAGTATAGGGAGTTGAAGGCAAAAGTCAAGAAGACTAGAACACTAGAACCAGGAGGTGAAACTTCCACGCTTTACCGCAGTGAGTAGTGGCATGGTAAGCGTGCACACGGTGGGCGTGTCGTTTAAGTTCGTGCACTGCTAATAGAACGAATTTACGAATTCTGCGCATACTATCCATGTAGGTTTTGAAGGGGAAATTTCGTAGCAAGCAGCTGCAAATGTTTGCGTCTGCTTGGTTAGGTAAATTATATAATAATAAAATGCTTGGTCTGTCCTTCTGTCCTAACTTGAAGTTGGCCTTTTCTGATTTCACGTGTTTTTTTGAATAGTAATCTTATGACGTGTCAAATTTTGACAATTCTTTTTCTTATTTTTGCCAAAGTTGTATAATTGTGTTTCCAAATTTCGGAATAAGTTTCTTTAAAATTCCAAATTCGAAAATTCAATTCACGAAGCTGAAGTACACAACGTTTACCAACGAAATTCTTTTTAAAGTTGTATATTGATTCAAAAATTGTACAAAAAATGTATGATGAGAAAAAAGATGCGCCAGGAAATTTCGTATAAGATAGTAATTTGAAAAACATTTATTTTTAAAAATTAATTTTTAAGGTACCAGGTGCCAACGAATACCTATTAAATATTAATTATAAAAACACAGGCCTCGAATCAACTTAAAGACACAAAAAAGTCGTTTTAGTCGATTTATATTCCAAAAAAAGTGGATTTGTTTTTTATTTTAACAAAAATATTTTACAGATTTTTAAATAAAATTTTTTTTTTTTTTAATAATAATCCTTTTCGAAGGGTTAAAATTGAAATTTTTAGAAATAATTAAATTTCAAAGATATTGTTAATTTTCAAACAATTATTAAATTTTCCAGAACTGAAAATAATTTATCAAACAATTTTTGGAAAACATTTTTTAAATTTAATTGAATTTTCAAAGATTTAAAATTGAGATTTTTGAAATTAATTGAAACTTTAAGTGTTTTGTAATTAAAATTTTAGATGATTTCACTAAAAATTTATTAGAAAATGCGGACAAAATACAATAATTTGAAAAATGGTTTCAGATAGTTGAATTTTCAAAGAATATTATTAAAATAGTTAAAAATAATTGAATTTCCTTAGAGTTATAATTGAAATTATTAAATTTCAAAAAAAAAAAAATTTCGATGTAAAATTTTAGAAATAATTAAATTTTAGATGCTTTTAAATTCAAATTATTGAAAATTCAATTAATTTTGAATTCCAATTTTTGAGAATAATGAAATTATATTTGATTTTAAATTGAAAATTTTTGGGAAATAATTGAATTTTAATTGAAATTTTGGATAATAATTTAATTGAAGTTCATTTTTGATTGAAAATTTGGATAATTAATTTTGAATAGAAATTTTAGAAAATAATTGAACTTTATTTCATTTTAAATTGAAAACTTGGTAAATAATTAAATTTTAATTGAAATTTTGGATAATAATTTAATTTAAGTTCATTTTTGATTGAAAATTTGGTTAATTAATTTTGAATAGAAATTTTAGAAAATAATTGAATTTTATTTCATTTTAAATTGAAAACTTGGTAAATAATTAAATTTTAAATTGAAAATTTTGTATAATTATTGGATTTTTAATTGATTTTGAATTAAAATTTTGGGTAATAATTGAATTTTAGTTTATTTTGAATTGAAATTTTTAAAAAATAATTAAATTTTATTGTGATATTTTTTTTTAAAAATTATAAACAATTGTTAAATTTCATAAAAATTTTAATTGAAAAATAATTTTGATATAATTGAATTTGTGATGTATTTCATTAAAATTATTAAAATTAATTAATGTAGTGAAGAATCATTTTAGTTTAAAATTTGTTAAATAATTTAATTGAAGAAGATATGATGAAGATCTACATTTTATACTAGAAAAATGTATTTTATTTACATTTTTTTCAAATGTTAAAAAAAATGTCGCATTTTATTAAAAGAAGTCGATAAAAGTCTTATTTTTGAAAAAAGTCAGAAAAAGTCGTATAATCCGAGGCTTGTAAACATATAATTTTCATTATTATCATTTAATATGTAATAATATTCTAATAAATTAAATTATTATTGATAATATTATTCTTTAATTTCTTTATAACAAACAATTAAACACTCAATTTGGCGCGCTTGCGCGCGTTTAATTTTGCTAGTTACATATAATTAATTAAATATAATCGCATCAAAAAATTTATGGGTAAACCATTTGCCATAACCGCATAAACAGAAACTTAAAAACAGCGTCTGCTACATTTCAAATATCAGTGTCAAGAAAGTATGCGCAGAACACTGAAATTCGTCTGAATAGCAATGCACGAACGATAAGCCACGCCTTCTAGTGGCTTGTTTGTCACGCCGCATCTTTACAACGGAGTTTCCCCTCCTGGTTCTAGTCTTCTTGGCAAAAGTATAGTGCGGGAAGTAGTAATGCGAGCTACAAACTTTTGACTCCGATTAGTACCGATGTGATACCTTAAGTGGACCGCTCTCATGAGTGAACCACCTTGCAATTCTTGGTAAAAGTAAAACCTAAAATGTCTCCAGTTTCTGCGCATTTCCGGCACTATTTACTCCAGAAATAGTAAAATTTACTCATGAAATAGTAAAAATTATACCGGAAATAGTAAATTTTACTATTTCTGGAGTAAAAATTGCCAGAACTGCGGACAGTTCGGGTTTTACTTTTAAAGTAGTAAAAGTTACTTTATTCGTTTTTCCATTGTTCTCCGTGTATAAACGCGTGCTCTCCAAAATTGACAAAATCAGTACTGAAGTTTAGCAAAACATGCTCTTCGAGGATCAGGAAGGAATCTTATGTGGTCCTGGAATAACTAACTGATTAGACATAAGTTAAAAATGAATCTGAAGTTAATTTTCAAAAATTCAAAATGGCGGACGATTTTCTACAACTTTATCAGATTTGCTTGAAACTAACTGATTAGACATAAGTTAAAAATGAATCTGAAGTTAATTTTCAAAAATTCAAAATGGCGGACGATTTTCTACAACTTTATCAGATTTGCTTGAAACTTTTTACTCGGGGGTTTTTAGGGTCGCTGATTTCGAATTTGAAGTTGGTTTTAGCAAATTTGAAAATGGCGGATCCAATATAGCAACTATAATTTTATAAAAATGTAAATTTGTTATTAATTTTATTATCTGGGTTTTCTAGATATGTCTTTTAAAAACTAACATTATATTCGAAATCAGCAACCATGCTCTCTAAATCTGAATTAGTAGAAAACTACTAATTAACAGTAAAACCATGAACGAATCATCTGTACTCCAATTAGTAAAAAATTACTAATTTTTAGTAGAAAACAACTAACTTAGCAGTCAAATTTAATTAATTATTTGTAAAAAAAATTACTATCAAATATTTGGGAGACATATATATCATATCATCACCCAGATAGTAAAATTAATAACCAAATTCCATTTTTTTTAAAATTATAGTTGCTATATTGGATCTACCAGTTTGAATTTGCAAAAATCAACATCAAATTCGTAAACAGCAACCCCAAAAATCCCCAAGTAAAAAGTTTCAGACAAATTTGATAGTTTTAGAAAATCTTCCGCCATTTTTAATTTTTGAAAATTAACTTCAGATTCACCATATTCGTAATCAGTTTCCCCCTGAAGCCCTTAATATATCTTGTCTGAATAATTCAACTAATTTTTGAAGCTTTGACAACAACATTTATATTTTTTTGTTTGTTTTTTTTTATTCTAGGCACCATATTTATGGTCCATATATAGAAAGAAAATCCTTTGCAATAAATGTTAAAAATGATACAAAAATTTAGTATATATTCTTTAGCAAGTCATGGAAACTAAGGCTATTTATTAAAAATTAATATATTTGTAGCAAAAGCTTTGTAGAAACAATTTTAACATAAATTAAAATTACTATTCTAAAATTCATAAGAAAGTTTTCTTATTTTTCTTAAAACGTACCATATGTAAAAGGGAAGCGGAATTAAAGAGCGCGCATTTTGTTTGCTAAAACTATACGAAAAATTGAAAAGGACGTTAAAATAAAAGAAAAAATTTTTTCATTATTTGCTACCTGTCGAAGGATTGGGTCATCGCTGTTAATTGTTCTCTATTGTAGTTGAGGATGCAGGTATGGTTTGTATACACAACTACACACGCACGCAGGTTCGCTTTGACTTTCTTAACATATATATACCAACCTAACTTATCGAAAATACGCATATATGTACATAAACGCAGAATATCGCAACGCACACACTTATGTTCTGCCGTACGATGTAAAAACTTAGGTAACCGACATTGTCGCTTTAGGCTGATTTTAGTTTGTTATTACTACTGAAATCAGCCTAAGCGACAATGTCAGTTGCTTAAGTTTTTACATCGTACGGCAGTATTATATACATGTTTCACGAAGGTAGAAAATTTCCTTATATACTAGGAAGATAGAATTTAATGCACTTGCGAGAAACGCTTTATTTATTATTTTAAATTATATGCGCTATTGTTTTTTAATATTCATAAGAAAACAATAACTAACTTAAACTAACATTTAAGAGGTCATATTTTAAAGTAACAATGATCATGAATTTCTTATGATTTCTTATAAAATTCTTGATAATCTAAAAAACCAGTACTCCTAATTTAATTAGTTAGTGAATTGAGTAAATAATTAAAACTTTATTAGCAAATTTTGAGAAATGTTTTTACTTTTAAAAATTAATTACTACTCGTTATGTGAACTTTTAAGTTGCTCGGTTATAATTTTCAATTCAGTTTAATCTTAATAATAATTAAAGAAATACAAACATAAATTCGAAAAACAAATCATTTTAATAAATATAACTGAAATAGAATGAATGGAAAAAATAGCCAAATACAGGAGTAATCATCGTGACTTTTCGTTAGCAATCGGTCAAATTCGTTCAGACTCGCTCGGTTGCCTTCGGTCCTACTTCCCCAACCTTCTTTTTTGAAATTTTCGTATCGGCTATACCAAAATATGAAAATATTGAAGCAATTAACGTAATCATTTTATAATGATATTTCTAAAATTCTTAATAAAAATTGTCATTTGAGTTTCCTAAAGTAAAATTTTAATTTTTCAAATGACTTTACTAATTTTTATTTTCTAACTATATTATATAATATTATTTTTATTTCAGGCTTTCTTAAAAGTGATAATAAATAAAAAAAATATTTTTAATTTAATTTTATAAAACTAAAACAGCCAATATTTTTAATTGTGTACGCTGTGAATCAAAGTATGAAACTTAATAATCTGATAGTTTGTATTTTTTCCCTATTTTTTTCATTTAAAAATTATTGATAACAATAAGATAACAATTCAATGCAGCGGTTTATCAAAGTTTGCTAATTTTTACCTCAAAGAAAGTTACACACGAAAAACAAAACGTGGTTCACTCATGACTACACTCCTTTATCTCTTACGTTTTCGAGAAATGCAAAAAAATTCATTTTTCAAAATGTCACATTTTTTAATATGACTTTTTTTTCATATATGGGATTTCCAGTAGGGTAGAACTTGTAAAAAGTCAGAAACTTCAAGAAAAGAAACCGTGTTTGTAGTCCACACCTGTAAACTATGGAATGTTTTATGTGAAGCTCATAATGTTTATGTAATTATGAAAATGTCCGAATGTGAAGAAATATTTAACAAGAAACTTGAGAAAAAATTATTCGGCAAAGTTCTTGCAATATTAAACGATCAATTTTGATTCAATATTTGCAAGTAATATTTGCCTAGATATTAAAATTTCTTAAACTGATAATATTGTTGATATTGCCTCAACATTCTATGTATTGCCGTGTAATTTTTGCTCAAATTTGGCGATAAATATTTCTTCACCTATACGAACATTTTAATAGTTGCGTACACAAATAATTCCTGCTCTTTTAATTTAAATCAGTAGAATTTTATTGGTTATAATAAGCATCATTGCAAAGTGAGTTTAAAAAATGAATTATTAATTTTTACATATTTTTAAAAATTTATTATGGAAAATGTTGACTAATTTAATTAATAACTGAATAATTACTATAAAATTAGACATTATTGATCTATTTTATTCAGAGATTGTACTTTGTAATCAATTGTATTTCGACCAAATAGCAGGTAAAAAATATGTAACATGTTCTTAATGTCAGTATATATTTCTTAAGAAATACTGGTCGTTAGTTTCAACCGATTTAAAGGTTAGAATCCACCATATAAATTTTTTAGACAAAATCCCGGAATTCCCAAAGTTGACATTTGATATTAGCTTTAAATATTTCTTGATATGTAAATTCTCTCAGTGTATATAAAAAATATAAATGAATTAATATTTCATTTTTAATCAATTTTTTACTTCATTACTCACATACGTGTAAATATGTTTAGTTATTTAGTAGTAATTTAGTTTAGTTATTACTATACTAGTTAGTCATTATATAATATTATATTACTTAAAACTAGTCATAAAATAATTCAAATATTTTTGAAAAATAGTTTAAAAGTTTTAATATTAAAAAATTATTTACAGGTTAAAAAGTCATTAGGGTGTGACAAAATGTTCTCAACTAAGGTTTAAAATACTTTGTTTAGGTAAATTTATTATATTATATTAAAAAGTAAAAAAAATTTTTTATCATTTTTTCTCTTGGCATATATCTTGGTCACATACTTTATATAAATTAATAGTAATTAACAATAAGATTAATTTCTTGATAGAGTATGATAATTTTTGAATTTTATAATTCTAAATGTTTGAATTGTTTACCTGAATTATTAAAAAGAAAAGTATTCCATAACTGGTAATCACGTTTCACAAAATACGCACGTAGATTAAAGTGTGTTCATTTTAATAGGTCACTGAGAATATGACATGGTATACGGAAAACAGAAGTGAACAGGCTCGCCTAACGGTAGGATCGCTTCTTTACCTGCATATTTAATGTGTCTACATTTACGGCGGCGCGGTTGCGTTATATGTTCATGGTTTTATCCTAACTCCAATCAAGTGTAGTATAGGTATATCCGTGCAGGTATATATATATGTATATAAGTATACAAAAAACTTAATTCTACGTTCTGCGTACTCCACCTGTCGGCAATCTATATTGCTGCAATAAAGTAATGCGCAAATATGTTTTCAATAGAAGAATATTTATGAAATATTTTTTATATTTCTATGAATTATCAATTATACCATAAAATAAAAATTAATAATTAAACTCAATGCTTGCTATAAATTATAGGCTCGGTAGTAATTTTTTCAGTTCTATACATTATTATTTTACATATAATTTTTTCTGCTTTTAGTTATTCATTTAATATAAAGTATATGGGCTAAAATAAATAAACACAAATATATTATTAACCAATATTTATTTATTTAAAAAACTTATGTTCCTAGAGCTAATGATTCATTTTAAAAAAATTTAAGGTAAATTTAACGATTTTTTCGATTTGCCCAACCGTTTATTTACTTATTATCCTATCAGTATTAATTTATGAATTATATTAATGTTTAGATAATAGCTACAAGAATAAGGTAAAATTATGTGAAATTCTTAGCTTTTAATTGATAAAACTGAGGCCATTAATAGTAACTTAAAATATCATTTAAAACTAAGTATAAATTTCAATTCTAGATTAGTATACAAGTAGTGTTGATGATTTTCGAAAACCACAAAAAATATATATATGTCGTGGTCTCGAGTGACCGAAATGCTGTTTTTTTCGAGCTTTGTCCAAGTTTTGGTGGACAAACTGCAGAGTGCCCACCAAACTGCGGAGTCTTTGAGCGAAGCCTCAAAATCTTCTTTTTTTCATACTTTGTCCGAGCCACTTTGGACAATATTCGAAATAAGATATTTTGAGGTATGAATTAAATTTTGTTATATTTAGACAAGATAATTTTTTATCAGTATAAATTCGCTTCAATAACGTTTGAAATATATATAACTTCCTCTTCAGGGAGTAAAACAATAAATAACATAACATTAACTACTTTACAGGTGGTGCGTTCTTAATCGCTTTCCTATTTAATTTAAACTATTAATATACTATAAGTATTATTATTATTATATTTTATAAATTAGAAGGTATATTAATATAATCTATTTTTTAATGAAAAATCTGAGTTTTATTGAATAAGAATTGAGTAAAAGTGGAACGCCATTCGTTGAAAAGTATTAAAAATTGACAATTTCAACGTCCAAAAAAACATTGATAACCTCAAAAATCCAAATTTTTATTGTCATATTCTTGTTCCCTGATGTTGAAAAAATAGAAATGTTAATTTGTCGTTATTAAAACTAACGCAGGGGAGGATGGGGCAAGAATAGTTAGGTAAGACGTTTTCGAATCTAGCGACCAAACCTGAATTTGTATCTGCAAACGAGTAGTATTTTTGAAAAACCTGGTTATTTGGCTTTAAGTTTGCTATATATTATTTTGCTGTAGACTGCAATCCCTACGAGATATGAATTAAAAAGTAAAAAATGTAGTACCGGGGTAAGGATAGTTAAAAGAATCCGAATGCTAAAAATGTCATAGAAAATCAGTAAATTTTTGTTTTCTTTATTTTATTGGATTTAGATTATTCAATATTGATATATCAAGTATTAACAACATGTTTTGAACATTTTCTAAATATTAATTATTGCATTAAAATTTGTCTGAACTATAGAATCTGAGGTTTAACCAATTTTCTTCAGATGATCACCAATTTCTTGGTCAATAAGCTTCGTTTTCCTTATATAATTACGCACCATTATGTATATCAACCTAAAAAGAACAATTAAACATTTTTTTTTAAATTTGCAGTCGCATTAGCAGGATTTTATATCCGTAATAACTCTAACTACACAGCCACACAAAAAAAAAAAGTACCCGGGCCGGGGAATGAGACCACCATTTCTTGATGTATTTTGATGCGCTGAACACGAATCTGAAGTCCGTTTAGCTCCATCACGTCAGGATTTTGACTTAACCTCAAAAAACGTAGCTGATTTTAAATGACAGGAGAAATTTTTTAAATAATGGCAGATTTGCTTGAATCTTGTTACTCGGGGGTTTTTGGGGTCGCTGATTACGAATTTAACGTCAGATTTATAAAATTCAAAATGGCGGATTCAATATGGCGGACGAATTTTTAAAAAGTAGTTGGATTTTTACGAAAATTGGTATCTAGGGGTTTTGGGAGTCGCTGATTACAAATTTATCGTCAGATTATTCAAATTCAAAATGGCGGATCCAATATGGCGGACGAGTTTTTAAAAAATAGTTGAATTTTTATGTAACTTGGCCGATACTGGGGTTCCGAGTCCCTGCATCGTAATACGTTTCCTACGTGTGTCTGCCATGACGGCATCAAAGCCATTATCCAGGGACTTAGCCGGATAGCGGACAAACTCCGTTGTCCACCGTCACCGCGTGGAGGTACCCTGGATGCAGACACATGTAGAAACATAAAGATATTTGACCACCGTACTATATCTGCCATTTTACATTTGAATAATCTGACGTTAAATTCGTAATCAGCGACTCCAAAAAAACCCCATGATACCAATTTTTGTAAAAATCCAACTACTTTTTAAAAATTTATCCGCCATATTGGATCCGCCATTTTGAATTTGAATAATCTGACGATAAATTTGTAATCAGCGACTCCCAAAACCCCTAGATACCAATTTTCGTAAAAATCCAACTACTTTTTAAAAATTCGTCCGCCATATTGGATCCGCCATTTTGAATTTTATAAATCTGACGTTAAATTCGTAATCAGCGACCCCAAAAACCCCCGAGTAACAAGATTCAAGCAAATCTGCCATTATTTAAAAAATTTCTCCTGTCATTTAAAATCAGCTATGTTTTTTAAGGTTATGTCAAAATCCTGACGTGATGGAGCTAAACGGACTTCAGATTCGTGTTCAGCGCATCAAAATACATCAAGAAATGGTGGTCTCATTCCCCGGCCCGGGTACTTTTTTTTTTGTGTGGCTGTGGCTATTCTTGCTTCATGAGCCCATATTTCAGTTTTTTCTAAATTTTAAAGAACGACGTGAATTTATTTGAAAATAAAAACGATACTCGTGTTCAGCAGGAAATTCCACTTCAGAAAACACTTACGTAAATAAATATTCAGAAGCAGTAATATAGAAAACAATATGATAAACACTACGTTGACATTTTAGCAAAACAGACTTTTTACAAAAAAAACGTTAGTGTACCAAATTTTTTAAAATTGGAGGTCCCTCTTATTCGGAAGTATACTCCATAAGCATAATACCTAATAATAATAATAATAAAATTTACAATTTTTTAAATATAAAAAACATTAATAAGTTTCTGAAAATATCTTATTTCAAACATTACCCAAAGACGCTTGGACACTCCGCAGTTTGCCCACCAGAGCTTGGACAAAGCTCATAAAAAGAAACAGCATTTCGGGCTTGTCCAAAAGTGCTATCTCGAGAACAAACGGTATGTAAAGTTAACTATAAAAATCACACATTCCGACATTGGTTTTGCCCCTGGGATATAATTTTATTAAAAAGTATTTATAAGAATGCGATCTCGAATCTTATAGAAAACGATAATATTTTCCTTTAAGTGAGTGCTATCAGTTTTCGTGATTTGTTTTAACTCGTAAAGGAACTACTACGATATAAATTTTTTGATCGTGTTCTAGAGTAAAATGTAATCTTAATTGAAGTTCATATTAGCGGTCACATTAATTGAGTATACATTTTAGTATTTTGAGAAAGCAATGAATTATAAGTTACAAACAATTGAATAAAATTATTACATTTACATTTACTTTAATTCAGTTTTTCAATGATTAGATTAGTCTTTAGATTCATTTCTAAGCAGTTAAGGGTTCAATTATAGGCCCAACAATAAATCTATGACGCACCGGCGTTGTGCTCTCACGTCAGTGTGTTGCTTACCCTTACCGAAACGGGCCTTACGTTATATATAGACATTGTCCTCGTGTACCCAAGTAGCACGATATATCAACCAGATGTCACGGTGATATCACCGAGGAATGTCACCGTGACATCAGGAAAATGTCCGCCTTACGGTGATATCACCTCGATGTCACCGTGTGATATCACCGTAAGGCGGACATTTTGACATTTTCCTGATGTCACGGTGACATTCCTCGGTGATATCACCGTGACATCTGGTTGATATATCGTGCTACTTGGGTAGTTATAAATTGTGAAAAGTCAGATCAAAATATCTGATAAATAATTTTTTTGGTAACAAAATAACACAAAATTTTGAAATTACTGAGCTTTGAAGTGTATAAATGTATAAGTTATTTTTAAGTTTCACAATCTGATCGATTTATAAAAAATCGTCCGCCAAATTGGATCGAGTATTTAATCAGCGACTCCGAAAACCCCCAAGTAACGATTTAAAGGAAAATTGGATTGATGTTTAAAAATTCGTCCGCCATAATTGAATCCACCATTTTGAATTTTGAAAAACTGATTTCATATTCGTACACAGCTTTTTGAGGCTCTCAAATTGAGACTATAAACAGCATCAAAACGTTGCATTATCAACAATTTGATACACTTTACGGTCTCAATTTGAGATCCTCAGAAAAACTGTGTATAGTCAATGACCTCGGAAACCCTCATGTAACGAGTTTTAGGCAAATTGGATAATTTTTATTTTTGGACATCTCTATTTCAGCATGACTTAAATTTAGTTTATGAAATTAAAACTTCACGAAACTTTTAATGCTTTTCAATTCCATTTAAAAAATCAGCACAGTTTTAATTCCATTTTATACTATTTCACATTTTGTGAAAAATGAATAAAAAATTTAAAAGGAATACAAACTTATAAAATTCTATTCTATGCGTGGAATTAAAAAAAGGGAATTTTCCAGATTAAATGGAATTAGATTTTTTACTTTCATTCAATTCCAGCCTTTTTACCGAATGGGTGATTTGGTGATTTGGTTTTTTTTATTCCAGAAACAGATAATTACCACAAAAGACAGTGCAAATTGAGTTTGAGCCACTTTTGATGTTAAAATTTTTTAAAACCTCCACATGATCGCTAAACGTTTTTTTTCCCGCTGTAGACTTCAGCTTCGAATAACGATACGAAAACAAAACATAGTGACAGCTTCGGCAGCCATGTTTATTTTTACCATTATAATTATGAATATATATATATATATATAGTATACAGTGGATACTGTCAGCAGTCAGCGCTGTACTAACATATAGTTAAATCTTCAACCTATCGGTAATATAAAGCTATAAAAAATTTCATTTCCGACAAAAATAAGTTTGGCATCGAGGTTATAGATCGAAAGTAATCGAATAACACAAAAATCTTGAAAATATGACTTATAGTTTTCGAGAAATCTCTTTCGATATGAACGCCAATTTTTCTGACTAAACTAGACCTCGGAGTAAGACGTTGTCACATCAAAATGTTATAAATACTTTTTCATATGAAATTTAATTACCTTTATTTTGCTTGAAAGAAAATCGAAATCGGTCAACCAGATACAAATTAGTGGATCCACTTTTTTTGAAACTTAAAAAATTGAAATTTAACTATATCTCGAAAAATGTTCTACTGTCTTAATATCTGACTTCATATTCGGATTCGGGAGGAAATTTTACATAAGAAATGATAGTGAAATGTCGAAGGTCGAAATTTTTCTTAATTTTGTAAGCTTTATTTGATAAAGTATCTCATGAGATACTTTCTTTTTTTTCTAAATGATTTTTCTTTTCATACAAATGAAAATGTCTATGTTTACGTGTAAAATCCTCTTGCGAAGAATTTTGATTAGGTCGATAAAAAATTTACTTTTTGTTTACATACTTTAAACTAAATGATCTAAAGAGAAACGATGAAATTGGCTTTAAATTTTTCAGAGACTTTACTTTTCTTGCCACGGTGTTATGTAATACAGTAGGACCCCCTTAAGTAGACGCTTCTTCAAGTGGAAGATTCCCTGAAATGTTTTTGATGACGCCCATGTTTCTCAAAGTGGACGGTGATTCTCCTCCATTTCTTTGCTCGTGGAACGTAAATGCTGTCACATAGATGTGCATCCTGGCTTAATTTTTCATATAAGTAGTAATTGAAAATAATTTGCTCGAATGAAGTATTACTTTTGAAGTATTGAACTCAAGTCACATTCGATTTAATTATTTACACGTGTGTAATTACCAATAAAAAAATAAGCAGGCTTGTCAAATTTATAGTACTTACCTTTGATATCATTTTGTAAAGGAAAAGTTGCATCAGATTGATAGGAATCCTCTCAAAGAGAAATAAATTTTTTCCAGTAAAACTGGATATTTAAAGTAAAATTAAATTAAATCGACCTAACTATTGGTTTTAAATATTTATTTTTTCTAAATTAAACTAACAAGATTTTTGTCTTCTTATTTTTAATATAAATTCTTAAAAGACCAATAAAGAATGTGAAAAGTATTTTACATGATAAAACTAAACAAATTGTAAATATAATTGGGCGCAGAAATAATAAAGTAATAAAATAAATTGAAGAAGCATTACTTATTACTTGTTTAAAAATTGTAATACCTAAAATTAAGTTGAAATAGCTTAATTTCATCTATTTAAATTTAAAATCTTATAGGGTAAGTGTGCGTATTACTACGGAAGCTACGGTTACTGCTGAAGTGTATAAATTCATTAATATTTTCTATATATAACTTCAATCCGCAGTAATACATGAACAGTAATTCATTAACCATTGGCACACAGTAATACATACATATTAACAATAATACATGCATTGGCTATTATATTTTTCAATATAACGAGTGCCTATATAAATTTGATACTATTCAATTTTCATATATAAGTACAAGCAACGAAATTGATTAATCTGAAAATCCGCAGTAATATTCACATTTACACTATTGACTAAGGTGATATATTTTAATAAAAAATTATATTAATATAACTTTAAATTTTAACATGACTTTATTGAGTAGAGCTTGAATTTTTTTCTTGATCTTTGGTTGCTAGCAAAGTGTATAAATCGGTACCTCCATGTAAAAAACCACTCTCGTTTTGTCCGTATAAAAACTCCTATCCCACGTTGACTGCCTAAGAACTTGTCTACTAAATGGGTAACCCATTACAATTACTATTATAATTATAATTATTATTTACACTCATTTACACTCATAATTTTCGTATTAGTGATGATTTCGTGATAATAATTACTATTGATTGCAATAATTATTTACTTGTTCGAGTTTATTTAAATATACATGGAGGTATCAAAATTTCAAGTAATTAAAAATTAACAAGAATTGGACTAACAAATCCGATGTTGATAACCTAATTAACGTTTTTAAACTTTTTTCCAATTTCTTTTGAATAGAAATGAATAAGGCAGGTAAACTTGTGTAGGACAGATGTTAATCTGGAATATATTAATATGTACAAATTCCTTAAATAATAATATTAAAAAATTCAACATTATGTAGAATCGCTAATAGGTTGTTCGATTCATCAGAGATCGTTAGATCTTGAAAAATTGATGTTAGTGTAGGGGTGACTTTGATGATGCGGTCTATGCAGCGTGTTGCTGATGGTAAGAGGACCTACCATGTGACCAGGTCTCGCCCAAGTATAAACATATCCATCTTGACACGCTGTCACGAAGCAATCTTCTCTAAATACTAATTCAGTCAGTCTTTCATGCGCAAGCTTCTTGCACACCAGCGGCTCCAGTACTGGACATTCATCAAATCGAGGACACCAAGCTGTTCCTATTAATTTCATGGGATCATCTGTTGCCGATCCAGACTTTTTACTCGAACTTAAATTTCCACTGCCACTGTACATATTGCTTCCATTAGAGTTATTGCTTGCTTTATCACCTCCACAGGTTAAAACTACAGAATTGTTGCCTGCCGAGTTGTTTTTCATGGTGAGGCTAAAATTTCTTTTGTGATTATCGCTTTTGCGTTCGCCAAATCCCAGTCCTGCTAACCTTTGAGTCAAAGAGTTTACTGTTGACACAGCTGTATTCGTACTAGAAATGTTGCTACCATCGTTGCTAATGGCATTTTCCTTCAGGTGAACATTGTTAACATTATTGTATTTATGATTCGAGAAATTATTCGACGTGGCTCCATTGCCGCTAGTAGGATTGCAAACATTAGAGAGGGAACTTACAACCGACGGCCTTTGCTTTGGACAGACAGGTTGTCGTAGTACGTCTTCTGTAATGTCCCAGAGGCAAAGCTGGGTGTCTTGAGAAACACTTCCTAATCTATAGCAGGTACCTCCCGAAACTCTAATTTCGGAGCTACATGAATTTCGATTCGATTGTCCACTTTGCGAAGTAGTCGAAGGCCTAATTGTTTTTTCCCGGACGTGATGATAATTGTGTTGTGGAATGATCTCATCATCCGAGCCACTGAAATCTGGATCCTGTTCTGCATAGGATGTAGTGTAAGGATCAAAAGCGACGACACTAACCCAGCTGTGGTGACCTTGTCCTCGAGCAACAATGCGCTTCTCATTGAAGCTCCAAATTGTCACGAGGTCATCTTCACCACCAACAACAACATATCTACCGTCAGGTGACCAGCAAACACAAAGGAATCCACCGAAATAACTTCTTGCAGAACCCATAAGCTCCATTGTATCGTAATGAAATACTCTGAGAAATCCGTCTTGAGATACAACGGCTAAATTCGTTCCACAAGGACTAAAAGCAAACTCGTTTATGCAGCATCCATCAGCTCCGATAACCCATCGATATAAAGGATTTCGTGTTGATTTTGTTTTACAGGTGTGAATAGCATAGCCAATACCGGATTTAAATGGTTGATAATGCGGCGAAGTGGTACCACATAAAAGTTCCTTGTTGTACAAATATAGTTGACCTGAACTGTGAGAGACGAGAAACAGGTTACTTGATTGAGGAATCCACTTTATGCAAGTAACTTTTGTTTTGTCTATTAGCCGCTGCAACAAAAATACAATTTTATTACAAATAATACAAACTAAATCAACATTAATGTATCTATGTAATAAAGGCATTTCATTAAAAGATCAGATATACTATTTTAATAATAGTACTTTACGACGCAAGTTCGAGAAAATGGAGTTTCTAGATGGACGACGTTAACGAAACAAATCGAAAAGTGAAGGTAACAGGAATTCAAGTCGAATGCTGTCTTACTCCAAAACAATATAATACACCAGTAGACTAATGGGAAGTTAGCTTTAAACCTCGTAAAATTCAGCATGATTTTATTTACAAAAAATAATATATTCTTACCTCTTATAAAATTCTAGATACCATTATCCCTGAAAAGCATGAAATTAAATGTCTGGAAGTCACCTTTACTTCTAATCTTGATTTTAGGCCAAATTATCAATCAATTATTAACTCTGCTTCCTAATCTTTAGGTATCGTTATTAAAAACACCAAACATTTCCAAAATTTAAATGTATTATTTATTCTATTTAATTCTCTGGTTAGATCAAAATCAGAATACCTATCTCTATCTTAAGATCCAAATTTGAATAAAGAGGTCTATTTTGAAAAAATTAATAAGAGATTCCTTAAATATAATGTATAGCGAGGTTTATATTACGTAAAACTTTGACATACGTTTGGGATGCTAACGTATGAAGAGAGTCGAATGGTTATCAAATGTAGGTTTGTTTTTGGTTTAGTTAATAATCTTATCGATGCTCCATATCTGCTGCAATTTTTATCTTTTAAAGTACCTAAACTCACTTTTAGATATTATGAACCTTTCTTTGTAATATTACTTTCGAATTATAGGGGCCATCGTGCACCAATTTATAACATGATCTTAGCATGCATGTGAACTTAGCCCCCCACTTTTAAAAAATTAAAAATTTTTTTAGAGTTCTGACTTTCTGAAGAATAGTTCTAAAGTTCTTGATAGGTTTTAGAAATAGTTCCGGCGATTAAGTCTTAAAAATATCGATTTTTCGTAATGGGGGCTAACTTCACGCAGCACCTCACTTCTTAAAAAATGAAATTTTTTTAGAGTTCTGAATAGTTCTAACAGAGTTCTGCCCATATTTAGTTAAAATTTTGTTTTTCAATTAAAAAAAATAAGACAATAAGGGACACATAAGTTAATAACCTCCATCAAAACAAAATCAAAATGGTCAAGATTTTAATCGTCTTATTAAAGAATAGATAGAATTCTCTACTCGGAGAGAAAAAATCTTCCATTTTGTTTACAGTGAATAGACATGATTTAATTTGAGTTATTTCAGCAACTCTACTTTTTCTCCAATTCGGTTATGAATAATGATTGCATTATCTCAATCAAACTCACGACCAAGTTGACGATGCTTACAGATCGGTGTTTAATCTACTTAAGTGTAATATTAATTAGCACTTACTTCTTCATTGTACAATGTACTATTGTCTTTTTTAACTGGATCGATAAGTTGAATTTGACCTGTTGAAAAGCCGACTAGAAGTGGGGCACCATCAGCTGTTGCAGCACTTTGATTAAAGTTGTGACAAGTGGGATTGGTTCCTTTGTACAACTTCTTTTCAACTGGTTTATTTAAATCCACAGCCTAACAGAAAAAAGACATTCATTATTTTGTATCTGTTCATTTTTACTTTTGATAACATTTAACTTTCATTTCTCTTTTTAACACTCTCACTCGTGAGTATTTTTTTTTAAAAAAGTAACAATTGGTAAAATTGACTACTATTTAACTATTTCTCCTGGTTCCAGGAGGTCCAATTAACAAACAATAGTTAAAACAACTATGTAAAAACTGTCAAATTAATTATAAAGTATAGTAAAATTTACCATTTTTACAGTAAATTTAACTAAATAAAGAAGTTATTTCAATGATTTTTTGTTAGTCACATTAACTGTTTCATTAGGTTGCAGTAACTAATTTTCATAGTTCTAGGAGATCCCAGTCAACAAACTGTAGTTGAGACAACTATGTAAAAACGATTAAATCAACTGTAAAATTTAGTAGAAAAGAACTATTTAAAGTAGTAAACTTATTATTGTTATTAATTAAAGTATTAAGGCCTTTAATTTTTATACACCTAATAAAGAAAATCCCTAAACGCTGGGAATTGAACGCACAACACTAACATTCGAAAGCCGACAACTTAACCATCTATTTTTTTCATTTTGTTTTATATACAGCAAGATATACTTATAATAAGATAACGTAACAAATTGAATGAAAGAACGTTGTAAACAGTGTTGACAATTACAATTTATCGAAACAGGTCAATATGACCGCTCGCCGAATTCTACATTCACCATATGATACATATAATACAATAGAGTAATGAAACATTTTAATTGTGTTAATTAATTTCCAAATATTGTACTTCATACAATTCATTCCTAAAAAGCACACAAGGTGAAAAACAGAATCAAACTTTATTTACAGATAATAAAAATATGAGAGAAGCAGGCGCATGGCGCCACCATTGAAGTGTTTCGTGGCCTGCCAAGGTAATGTTTACTACCATGGTAACGGTTGCTATGTTAACTGTTACCATGGCAAGCATACGAATGTACAACGGACGGACGGACACCAAAGCGAAACTATAAGGCTTTCGGACCTAAGCCATGAAACCCTAAAAATTGAGACAAGACAAATTAAATGACTAAATTTATCTAACCAATGACATGCAAACATTCACACTTTTCGAGATTGAAAATATGCTATTGAATCAATAACATTTCTGCCGCAAAGGTATAAAAATTATTGATTCAAAAGCATATGCTATAGAATCTATAAAATATTTTTAAAATTTTATAGCATATGCTTTTGAATCAATAATTTTCATACCTTTGCGGCAGAAATGTTATTGATTCAATAGCATATTTTTCTCAGTGTATATTTTCAATCTTTTTGGTGTAAAGTTAGAGTCCGATTTCTAACAGTGTATTCACAGTATAAACCTGGGCTCATTTTTGCTGCGGTTCAAAATAAGCCAATGCTAAACGACATAGAACGTGGCGCCACCTACTTGACTCATTTTTGCTGCGGATCAAAATGATCCTGCTGGCTGTATCATTTTTACTGTGTTACAAACTTTACATAGAAACTTTTTTAACTGATAAAAATAGTAAGATTTACTACAAACTAACAGTTAACTCCACAATAAAAATTATATGTTAGACTTGAATTACAGTCACTGTATAGTCCACTGTACACTTTTTTAACAAGTAAACTCTGCCTCGACAAAAACCCTAAAAATAATTATTTTCAACACTTATTTTTACTACATGAAAACAGTAGGTCTGTTTTCTGTATCCAAAAAGAAATAGTTCATTCTACTACACAAATCATAAATATAACTATTTTATTTTCAAAATTTATTTTAACTATATGTATATAAAAACAGTAAGTATAATTCTTTTTCTGCAACTAATAAGATATGCTTCTTTCAACGATACAAATCCTAAAAATTCCAATAAACCAATAAGGTTTATTCATTTCGTTTCGGTCAGTAATAATTTTTCTTACGACAAATCTAAGATGGCATGACCCACTGGTGGGTCATTAGCACTTTGGGCATATGTATTCTTTTCGCGCGTGCATTAAATACGACAAATTTTGTCTCTACATTACTTTATACTGTGTAAAGGGTTTATCATCTGTTTATAAATCTAAATCTAAATAAATAATTTTCAACTTGTCTTATGAATTTTTGGTGAAATTCATTTTTCACTCTAGAATGCTTATTTCAAAGTGTTAAAAAAGTTTTGAAAAAATCTAAAATTTGAATTTTTTTGTTAAAGATTGGTGAAATTCTGGGGCTTGCGATCATCGAGGTTAAGCTGCTTACTTGGGTGCGGTTAGTGCTTGGATCGCTAAAGCCCTGGTGTTTTCACTGCAATCGAAATGTATCAAGACGAAGGTTTGACATTGCGGTATAATGATGTGTACTGTCGACAAACGTTGTACTCAGGAGAGCTTTTCTACAGTTTCTAGAAGAAAACCCATTTTGGGATGGTCCAGGTAAATGCGAGTACTCGAAGAGCACTCCTAATTCAAGTCGGTCTGTAGTCCGCAGTAGTTAATAAGATTATAGTTATTAAGAATTTCTACGAAAAGATACTTTTAAAGCTAGTTAAAAAGCAAAAGCATTTAACGGAACTGTCATTGAATGGAATTGTCGTTTAACAGACACTATTTCAGTATGTGAGTTTATCTTCTATAACTGCCAATTCCGTTAAATGACAATTCTGTTAAATGATAATTACGTTAAGTTACAATACTGTTCAGTGACAACTCCGATATTTTGCTGATTTCGAATCCATTGTCAGTTTTTCAAAATTCAAAATAGCGGATCCAATTTGGCGGATAAATTTAGTAACCCTTAGAGGTCACACTGGGTGGTTGCCACCATTGGTCATTTTTAAGTGGCTGTAATTTGGAAATGGTAAATTTATAGAAACCAGCAAAATTTGTGGATACATTTCAATGCTTTAAAAATCTGTTTCCTTATGTTTTGCATAAAAATATAAAATCCGTGTTATCGAAAAAATTTCATGAATCTTTCACGTTTTCAGAAAAATATCGAAAGTTGACAATATTGATGGGTGACAGCCACCCAGTGTGATCTCGAAGGGTTAAAAATTAACGTATTTAACTTGAAACTCATTTCTCAGAGGTTTTTGCAATCGCTAATTACAAATATGGTGTCAACGACCCCAAAAAACTACCAAATAACGAGTTTCAAGTGAATTCAATTTTACGAACCATTTATTCTTGTTAGTAGACCTGGTCACATATTTTGAAATGTATGCGAGTGCTTCATAAAGCAATAGAATCCGAACGATTTAAAAAAAATCCGCCATATTGGCCCGACATTTTGAATTTTGAATTTTGAAAAACTGAAACCGGATTCGTAATCAGCGACCCCAAAAACCCCGAAGTAAGGGGTTTCAAGTCAATTTTATTCTTTTTGATTAGGAAAAATGTTGTATTTTGATAATGGGACAAAAAAACCAAATAGCGATTATTTAAAAAATTTGACCCGAACTTAAAATACGGCTAACGCCATTGAATTCAGCGTACCCAAATTAGGTTAATTCACTATATGCCCAGTTTGTTCATTTTTTGAACAAGCACAGTGTTATTATTATTCGTTGAAAAATATAAAATCCTATTTATTTTGCAATTATTTAAATTAAGTTAAATAATAATAGCCCTTTATACTTTGTCCCAAAAAATGTCTTTCACGAAAAGAAAGTTAGTATCAAATTTTATAAAAGTATTTTTCGTCGACTCAACATTGAAATTTATTAAAGTTATATCAAATACGTTTAATATATTTTAATATAACTTTACTAAATTTCATATAAGTTTTTTTTAAAGTTTAGTATTTCTGATATCAAAATTTTGATTTTTCACATTCGATAAGTTTCTATCCTTGTTATTGATACTGATTCTTTACCATTGATTCCATATAGAAAAAATGAAGTTTTTGGAACAAAATTGTTTTCAACTTTGAAATCAAAACACCCTTTTGATGTTGTGAAGAAAAAAAAGAAGAAAAACATCTTCGATGCAAAAAGTTGCGCCAACAATTCGTGAAATGAAAGTTAGCCAAGTTAATTTTACGATTATGTTAAGTTTCAATTAATTTTTTTAATATAAATAATGAAATTTAAAAATGGGAAATTATACAATTTATAATTTTAAAATATGCATGCAATGTAGAAAAAAAGAATAGTTTTGGTCTAAATATGAAATAGAGTTAATAATTATTAAAATAATTAATTGAAATCAATTTTTTGATTAAGAAAAATTTCTATCATAGGCGCAGTTATAAAAACTTGGTGTAAATTATTTTTAAATATTTACATAATAATTATATTTATTACCTATTTAATATTTATATCCTTCATTAATTTTTCGTTAATCCACTTGCAGAAGTATATATAAAAAAATAATTCACACCAAGTTTTCATAACTGCTCGTACGACAGAAATTTTTCTTAATCAAAAAATTGATTTCAATTAATTATTTTAATAATTATTATTAACTCTATTTCATATTTAGACCAAAACTATTCTTTTTTTCTACATTGCACGCATATTTTAAAATTATAATTTGTATAATGATCATAAATTCTGTTTTTACTAATCGCATCATATATACTGTAAATAAAGCCACCAGAGTCTTGGGCTTCATCACCAGAAATTCAAGGCGCTTCAAAAACATCGATGCTTTGAAATGCTTGTACTTCTCGTTGGTCAGACCGATACTTGAATTTGCATCAATAATATGGCGACCTCACCAGAACGATTTATTTATTTATTTATTTATTTATCAAAAAAAAGTTCCTAGGGCTATAGTTTTGATAGAGCGAGTTCAAAACAGATTTCTACGTTTTGCTGCCAGACAAACTGGTTTACCATTAGACTATAATAGTCATGAATATAGTGAAATTAGAAGTAAACTCAATATACCGTTGATGTCTGAAAGATTTTTGTTTGCTGATCTTCTTTTTTTATTTAAAATCATCAACGGTCGTATTAACTGCTCTGACCTTTTGTTCTTATTCGATTTCCATGTGCCGCAAAGGTCACCTAGAAACCTACCATTATTTAAACTACCTTTTATTAAAGAAAACTATATAACAAATTCAGTAATCAACAGACTGAGCAATGAGGCAAACCAGTTCAACAACAGCATTGATTTTTTCTGTAATTCATTCACAACTTTCATCAAAAATTTGCGAATTTTGATTTTCAATGACCTTAACAACAACGCAGCCAATTAATACAAACCACATTTAATGTATCTCTATAGTACTCTGTACGAATGGGCTTTGCCCGTATATTTTCAATAAATAAATAAATAAATAATTTCCCAGTTTTAAATTTTGATTATTTATATTAAAAAAATTAATTAAAACTTAACATAATCGTAAAATTAACTTGGCTAACTTTCATTTCACGAATTATTTCGATGGTTAAGATAACTTTTGCTTGGCGTAACTTTTTGCATCGAAGATGTTTTTGTTGGGATAATATTTATTCATTATATTTATTTTATATAATATTATATGATATAATATAATCAAATTAATAATAATTTAATGATAAATTAAATCAGCCATTAAATGTCTCAAATAAACTTATACTGTTGCGCTGATATAGTTAAACATGTATACATATTTGGCGAACCCGAGCAGCTAGAATTTCGTTCTAAACGGAATTTGAGAGTGTGAGTAAGTACAAATCAAATCCCAGTTGCCGATTTTGCATTCATTTTTGTAAAACCTATTCACCTTAGAAGCCTGGTGTGAAATGAAAGTGAAAATAACTCGTACGGTTTTTGGAATTGAGCTCTTTTCGAAATTCACGATTCAATTAAATACTACGTAATATAATCTTACTCACTAAATGGCACACAGTAAAACCTTACACTGTTAACTCTGCATAAGACAATTTTGCACCTTAATAATAACTGGACTTAAATTTATAAATAAAAAGTTTGCTTTTAAACGATCAAGTAAAAAAATAATTTAAATTAATCGTCCAGAATTTTTCATTTAGTACTTTATTCTGTAGAACTCAAATTTTTCTTTTTTTTGCAAAGTAAGTCGTGTAGAATATCTTTGTATAAAGATGTAAATCATAATTGATTATGGTCGTTTAAAAACAATTTACTCAAAAAATTTTATGCGGTTTAATCGGTGTAGGGTTTTTGTGTATGTAATTTGAAATTTTGAAAAAAAATGACGGAATAGGCGTGTTTTTTTCTTTTAGCTATTGGTAAAATAAAATTTATAAAAATAATTAATTTAGAGAAACAATTTCTAAATTTTCCATGTAATAAAATTAATTTATCGAAAAGTTGAAATAAAAAAATAAAAGCATTATCGCAAGACGTAAAAATTGGTTTGTCAAAGTTAAAAAAAAATATACTCAAAATGAAAAAATGATGAAAATAATGTGAGCAAAAAATGAAGTTATATATTTGTAGGTTAGGCTTGAGAAATGGAAGACACGTAGATTAGCAAAGAGGAAAAATTAAAGTACTTTTTGGAGAGCAACTAACCTTTTTCACGCCACGATAGACGTAAACGTAAAGTTCCTTGCCAAAATTGAAACACATTCGATCACCAAGTCCTTGAGTGCCAGTAGGATCTGTGGGATCCGGCAAAGTGACAAATGAAACCCTGACAGAAGCACTGCCTTGATTATTTGTGTATCCAACCCTATTTGGCCTAGAATATTCCGACAAGGTCATCAGTTGATACGTTCCTTCTCTCGTGACAAATTGTGTTTTTAAATCATCCTTTCCTCCGCTGTCCAATTGTACAGCCATGTTACTAACACAAAAAACACAGTGGCAGAGCTCATCAGAAACGGTTAAGGGACGAAATTCCTTAACTATAGGATTTCTAGCCTCGAATCACCACCCACTTTTTGCTTCTCTAAATTGTTGCCGTCTCCAAATTTAGCGCGTATGTTAAATAGATATTACTTACAGCCCGACAAAAATATTGCAACTAGTTTTTAAACATTTTTGACATTGACTAATCCACTAAACAATAATAACCCAAGTAATAACCATATACAATAATCCAGGCAATTCTCTCTGTCAAAAATTATGGTGCTGTCACACCTCCCTTCTTGAAACTGCACTGAACTATACATATACATATATAAAAGGTGCCTCAACAATAAGGCCGCAGTCACATGACAGCTTTTTAAAGGTGTCATCACATGTCGATGTAAAGCTACAAATGGCGCCGTCCCATGACAGCGTGAAACGCCGGCGTAAAAACAGAAAGCATGAGAACGAAAGAGACGAACATATCTCTCTATCTTTTTCATTCTCTTGGTTTCCGCTTTTACGCTGGCGTTTCACGCTGTCATGGGAAGGCACTTTAAAAAAAATTTTAGGGGGTCCGGAAATTAAAAATAATCATGTACAATTATTTATATATGAGAAAGAACAATTTTTAGTTGTGAGACTACATTGGCTGTATACATACACGTTGACGTGTACGCATACGCAATGACGTCACAAATGTGTTATTGCCAACTGTCGTGGCTCGCGCCAAATCGTATAATTCCAATCAGTGAAATTTCACTGGTGAAATAATGGTTTTATGCAATTTAAAAATGTTTGAAATGAGAATGAATGCAATTTCATTGATTTTGAAAGTAATTAAGTTGTTAATACAAATGTGTTTAAAGTGAAATTGTGAAGTTCCTATTATCAACCGTCAATATAGTGAAATTTTTGGTGTGTTTTTTTACTCGCAATTTTGTATTAAAAATAATACTGTTATAGATAAATAATTTGTAGAATAAAGTTATTTGATTAATTTGGAGAAATATTACAATTTTAAAAATATACTTTAAGGGTACTTTCTACTTTAGAATTGACAAAAAAGACACGTTTTAAAACTTTAATTATAAGAAAAGTATTAAAGAAATTGCAAAAATTCTTTTTGGACATTGTTGTACATTACGTAGTGAAAATTTTAAAAAAAATATTTGAGTGTATTTAGTTCAATTTCTTAGCTGTAGGTGGCGTTTTCCAAAAGGTACCTTTTTTTGGTGCACTTGGTTCCGGACAACCAGTAATATATAAATTCAAAAGGGGAATATCTTCATAAAGGTTTATTCTAGACAATAAGGTTATTCAAGTTGGGTGGGGGAAAGCCAAGCTGGTGCACAAACATCCGGTCTATCAGCACACATTTCCACGTATTTCTCGTGGGAATGAATGCTGATAGGCTGATAGGCCGGATGTTTGTGCACCAGCAATCATCCATCTTGGCTTTCCCACACCCAACTTGAATAACCTTATAAACCTAAAAAACGATTTTTTAAAGTACTTTTTTCTCAAAAATTCGCAAAAACGCCTTGTTTTTGGGGCAATTTACTTCCATTTAAAAAAACAGAGAGGAAAAATATGAAAGTGTCGTGTACCATTGGAGTAAAAGAGATGGAAATATCTTTTGTCTCTTTTACTCCAATGGTACACGACAGAAGTATACTCGGGATCGGTGAGGTATACAAGCGCCTTTAAGTTTGCGTTCCCGTTCAAGAATCTATTCTGCTTAAGCCTTATACTCGGGAAGTATGCAGTGTCCTTCTTTACGCATGGAGAAACAAGGACACTGCATACTTTCCGAGTATTCACTTTATCAAAAATGTGCTAAAAATCCTAATTCGGAAACGGTCTTAGAAAAGAACAAAATTAGGCATATCTGGCCACGAGTGTACGCATCTTTAAGGACGCACTCACACATGAAATCCTATATTGTTTTCTATATATAAATCCATGTGAAATCTTAGGTTGATATTTCAGAATCTATTGGGATTGGCGGTCTAGTGACTTTTACCTACTTCGTCAGACATTTTAGTTTTTATTTCTCTTTCTATCGTGTTAATTAAAGAAAGATGAAAAAGGAAAATGGTTGTCCGAAGTAGGTACACACCAGATGGCGTATTGAAGTTTAGCCAATCCCAATATGAAATGCTATGTGATTTCCTATGTTTAAATCCATGTGAAATCATATGTCAGAATGCACATGAAATCCCATATGGTTTCCTATATTAAAACTTGTATGTATGATGTGATTGGCTGATCCATGACCATGTTTATTTTGATTGGGTAATTTTTTAAGGCACTCTCACACCTTTTTGGCTGCCTGCAGGTTACCATGGCAATGCATGAGAGTGAGTGCGACAGAAGATTAAAAATTTTGAATATTCAAATTTTTAAATTTTCTGTCGCACTCACTCTCATGCGTTGCCATGGTAACCTGCAGGCAGCCAAAAAGGTGTGAGAGCGCCTTAAGAGTGCCTTTACTGTCAGTATACTGTCAGCAACTCTCGAAAACACCCAGTATGGGCGACGGCGTGACATTAGGCGCGAATTCGAAAGTTTCAAGCTTTTATTACCACAATGTAAGCTTTTTTCACGTTTTAAAAAATAGTCACTAGAATAAAATGTTCAAAGTGCGAAACTGATGTATAATAAAGTTGTAAAAATTATATTTCCTAACTAAAAAGGTAACTAAAATACAAAAGACAGTGCTTAAAGGAAAAAAAGACCCAACTTTTTGAAATTTTTGTTAAGATATGTTTACATTGCAGTCATAATATTTATATTTGTATTATATATGGGTAAGTCCACGTCAGAAATATCAGAATCTGCAAGTGGTTCTTCGATTTTAATGATACTTGGTAAAATTATAGCTTTATATAAGAGCAATGTGTGAGTAAAAGGAATTTTTAAAATATCTAAAATTGTAGGAGTTATATCACTTTTAATTTTGATACTGCATTTTTTTCTTTCCTTTATATCTCGGTCAATTTTCAACCGATTTTGATGAATCAAAAACGATTTTTTTTCAGAAAATTACGTATTTTCAGAAAATTTTAAAATAAAAATAAAATTTTGTTATTTAAATAGAAAAAAGTAAAAAACAAAATTTCTTTGAGATTTTTTTTCAATTTCGACCTCTTTTTTTTAATTTTTAATTTTTTAATAATATTCCTTTTTATTTTATCTTTAATTTAAAAAAAATACATCAGTTTCGCACACAACTCAAAAACTTACAAAAGAAAGTGAAATATTTCTTTAAAATTGCTTACTGTTAATTTTATTTGATTTCTCTACTGGACTTTTTATTCTAAACTAAATATATGTATCATTATTTACTTATTTATTTATTAGGAATAAAAAAATATTTTTAATATTTTCTTAAACAAAATATTGTTATTTGATATTACTAAGAGAGTTGCAGCAATTATATTTCGCAATTTAATATAATTGATTAATTTACATTTGAAGATTACAATACGCGGTACATATATGTATATAATAATCTTGATAATAGTGCTTCCTCGTGGAGGAAGCTTTGTAGTCCTTTCGTTTATAAAATTTTTAAAAATGGTAAAAACAGATTTTCTTCTATATAGAAACATGTTATATGAGATCCTGATCAATTGTCCGGATGTATGTATGTGTAGACCCCTTTTTTGTGAACACGATAACTTTAACATGTTTTAATGGATTTGGGTAAAATTTTGTAGGTTTATTTATCACATTAATCTCTCAAAAATGACAAGAGGATTTTTAAAAATACCCCCAAAAAAAATTTTATCGTCTTTTTTCCAAAAATTTTTTTTTAATAAAATTTTTTAAAAGTAAAATTTAAGGTAATATATAATATAATCGTCTTCTTTACGTCAAGACGAATCGATTAGTATATATAAAGTATAGATTTGATTGAAATTTAAAGAATTAATGAAAGTTAAAAAATAAAAAATTCACATTTTAGTTTATATAGTTTATATATGAAATAATTTTATTCCCTGCATTAAAACGAATCGATTGGTATAGGATATAAAGTACAGATTTGAATAAAATTTTAAGAATTAATAAAAATTGAAAAATCAAAAATTCATATTTTAGCTAAAAAATTTTGTGTTTTTTTAAATTCAAGTTAATACATAAAATAATTGAATTCCTTTGCATTGAAACGAATCGATTCTTATATATAAAGTATATGTTACACTCAAATTGAATTACAATTTTCTTCATTTTTCAAAAAAATTAATGAATTTAAAGCAGTTTATTTCACAACTTTTTTTCAATTTTCGCGATTTTATTTGAGAAAAATTTCACCAAAAAAATTTAACGTAATTAATTTTTATTAATTTGACTCTTCTGAATGTGATGATTTTTAAGTGTTTTAAAAGTTGTGTTATTCTCTTAATATATTCACTTGGGGCGAGATCACCACCTTATTATTAGCTTTATTCAATTTTTAATTATTATTTATAAAAAATTTGTGGCCAGAAAGCCCAAATGCAATTTCGATTCAATCAAATTGTTAAATTAAAGCGACAATCTCTGAAAACTACAAAAAAATTTTAATTGTTGATTATAAAAGATTTTATTTTCTAAAATAAATTTAGTGTTATAAAATAGTGATAATTTGTGTTTATTTGATGTTTTCCAATGATTTTTAATTACTTTTTCATTTTAACTTCAAAAACAAGATAAGTGGTGATCTCGCCCCAATACTTGGGGCCATATCACCACTTATCTGCAAGGGTAGCGTAGAATAGCTGCAGCTTGAAATAATGAAAAGACCGGAACTTGGGTCAATAAAGTAAAATGTAGTCAAAGAGTCTGTCCTGAGATACAGTTCGAAAACTGTATAAAGGTGCCAGAACTCTAATCAGAATTCATAAAAACTCAAATTTTTATAAAAAACATTTTGAGAATTTTAATGTTCAGCACTTTTTTTGATTTTGAATATAGTGTAGAATTTCATAAGGATAAGTTGTAAACTTTTAATGAAGATGTCAAAACTTCGGCAAAAACCACTAAAACTTTAAATTTTTAAAATTTTTGAATAAATTTTGGAAATTTTATGTAACTATTTTTTTTGTTTTATAAGAGAACTCTGGAACTCTGTATTTTCTATCGGAATAATATATCAGAACTCTTTTTTGCAAAAATTATAGTATAGTTCTGAAATTTACTTTTGGATGCGACACGAAGTCATTAAAAAAAAAAAAAACTTTTGTTCTATGCATTAAGTCTTTAGTTCACCAAAGTTTTATGAACTATCAACCAATGTTTCGACTAAAGATATACAAGGTGTTCAAAAAGT